CACAACAATAGGCATACAAATAAATGTTTAATTAGGTATTCCAGCGACCTGTCCAAATGGCTACCAGTGGGTAATGACAGTTTAGATAATGCAAACCTGTTGTCATGTTGTCATTAACAGGGTCAATGATACATATATAGTTATATAGATTGCTCAAAGCTGGTCGTTTACGAGCGGCCATATTGCCTGGCAAATATTTATTAATTTAAATCGGTTTAGAAAAAATGTGTTTTGAAACTAATTTTTAGCCTTTAGACATTAAAAAAAAAATAATTGCTTACATTTTTACTTCAAGGCATAAGCTTATGTTTATTTTGAAAAATATGGATGATCAATCTATGTAACTATATATTTCATTGACCTTGTCAAATCACCAGGCCTACAGGGTTGCCATAATTTTGCTATATCATAACCCGTCAAAACCCACTGGTAGCCATTCAGTTTGGAATGCCTAATTCAGCAAAAATTATTTAATATTTTTAAAGATTTTTAGCTACTAATCGTGGATAGATGTTTTTGTGCGATTTTAAGAGGAAGAAAATGTTTCTCTTTAACGATATATATCAAGATATATTTGAATATGTTATTTTCTGGAGAACTTTAAGGGCAAACAAAATTAGTGCTGTCATGTCATGTCATTTTTAATATAAAATAATTTTTTTTAAACACTTTGCACAGGATTGGGATTGGCACAGGTGCCATTTGGTAAATTACAATGTTTTTACATGCTTTTGGGGTATATTTCATTTCGTTATCAGATGACGGTAAAAACATGCTCTTGGGCTATTACACGAACCTATAGCAATGGCCTTGGACAGAGAGGGTAAATACCAGCGATTTTTACTTTATATGGCAAAGGCCTTCGATACGGTTTCTTATTCTGATCTCTTAATAATATATTTTAGTTTTTAAGTTATCTAACGGGGTTAGATCCGGAGACTGTGGGGGCCACTCAATACTTCATCTTCTTCTGATTCATTGACCTGGAAACGTTTGATCTAAATACTGACGAACAGCAAGATGGTGCGCCACCCACCATCTTGCTGGAATATTAAGTTGTTTGTTATGTACTGATTGTCATTTTCAATTAACTCTAGTAATACTAGATAAATGGCGTTTTCTAATAATTCCAGATACATTTCAGCGGTTAAAGTTCCAGGTAAAAAAGGTGCCAATTATACGGTTACTAAAAATGCCAGCCAAACATTCAGTTTTTCCGGATGTTGCGTATGTACTTCATGAAATATTCTGGGATTTGAATCGGACCAATAACGACAGTTGTGGCGATTTACCGTATCATTTAGGAAAGAAGTAAATTCGTCAGAAAAACACACATTGAGTCATAATTTCACAAAATTGTAATCGCCTATCAAAATCGTCTTCGTTAAGTTAAGTTCTTGTACCAGATATATTTTATAGGGATGAAACTTATGTTATTTCAATATCTTCTGAATGCTATTCCTCTTAATACTAGATGTTATCATCAACTGTCTTGTACTCAATGTGGGTTGTTGAATACCATGCTCTAAAATCGCCACTTCTGTAGCTTCATTTACCACAGCATTTTCCATTTCACGTTTTAACTACTTACCGCGTTTTCCAAAATATACTTTCAATGTACTTGTCGATTTTGATGTTGATTGTTAGATAGTTGGGCATTCTATTAGCACATTCATTGTTCGCACCCTCTCATTAATTGAGTTAACCATTATTGCTGATATGCTACTTTTATGCAAACTCTACAACGAAATAAACTAAACCTTACTACTTTACGGCGACCAAAGAATGTCTTCTGATAACAATAATTAAATGCCACAGGAATAAAACTAGAAGTGTTACAAAAAAATCCTTTTTTTAAAAAAACAATATAAAAATTTTGTTAAACCGGTTTTGTACTTTTGGTGAGCCACTGTATGGACAACGTAGATAGTAGCGATGTAAAACTCAGGGGGGTTATAATCTAGGTAAAAATATCTTCAAAATAAGATATCATTCGACTCCTTTTTCCATTTAAGATTTTAGGGGTGAGTCTCACCCCGCTAAAGGATTTCCGTCAAAAATTGACGGCCCAACGTTTTTTCGTAAATGACATGGGGTCTCCAAAATTTGCTCTATTTCGTTTTCAAATGGACACCCTATATATTATTTTTTAGGAGAAAAATACGTGAAGAACCTCGGCGAACAAATTTAAATTTACAATGTTTTTATTTATTTTTTAAAATAACATTTATTTTGTATTATAAATTTGTATTTAAGTACGGATTTTATTTTCGAAACTGTGATACTGCATTCCAAAAAAAAAAATACAATATGTCATGAATATTCAAAATACTGTGAACATAGGTATACCTAGATATCCTCAGTAAATCTAGAGAATCTGCCATGCATATAATTTTAAAATAAAAATGTATCGTGGGCATATGATTCATGGTGACCTGAATATTCCTGCAATCTTCCTTTCATATGCCATGGTGGACATGGCATATTCATGGAATATAGGAGTATGCTATTGAGATACGCATTAATTATGCATGAAATATTTTAATGCTGTCCGAGTACACAAGGTTTCATCAAAAACTACGCAATTACAAATACATGCATAAACTTGAATATAGATCTTTCTCAGAAAATGGTAAAACAAAGATCATTCTTCTATTTTAGCTCCAAATGGTTCTTGTCTCTCTAATAACGAAACAAACAACTAAATTATATAAATTTAACCCAGATATTTTATTAAAATTGTAAATACTATGTCTATAATTATTTCTGTCTATCTAAAATTATTTATTTTACCCCCTAACATCGGTAAACATATTTGGGCTTTTGTAATAATTTGGCAATTATTTTAATTAATCTAAAGATTTTACATAAAAATCTCATATAAATTTTCAAGTACTTTCCTTCATTTGACCTTAGAAATATTAAACAGTTATTATAATATCAAGGTAAATTAAATATATGAGTTGATCAAAAATTTCAAAGAAAGCACGTCTCAACCAATATTTAAATGATTTGGGAACGATGGGAAGAGACAGCTACTGAGTGGGCCGGGCGTTACGCTGTCCGACTATCCACCGACGCCGATAAAGCGTATCTCGGGAATTTTAAAGTAATTTTTTTGAAGTTGTGATTAATTAATAAATATTAGCTAACCGATTTTATACTTAGTGAAATCGAAACTACGTTTCGAGCAAGATAAGCCTTCCTCTTTCACTATATTAAAATTGTGACAGTTCTCTTTTTCATTTTTCCAAATTATTTAGTTACCTCCCTTCGTAGATTTTAATAGGAAGTGATATAGTTTATTTTTTGACTTTGGTAGCTACAAGATCCAACGAACATTTTTTTGCTATCTATTCTTACATTAGTTATCGGTACTTAATTATCGTCTACTGATTTACCTCAGGGTGGATCTTGTACCTCCAAACATATTGTATTACTTGATAGTTTTTTTTTCTATGATTAAAATTGTTACATGTTTAAATATATTGAGCTAAATATATTAAGTTGTTAAACGTTCACCTGTTTTTATCTTATGTGTGTTACGAGGAACAACCCCTAGTCCAGATAAGCTATCTAACAAAATCCAGAGTTAGATAATTGAATAATTATTTAGATGTTCTGTTTTAATTCTTAACCAAAATATATTCCATCTTCATCAGGTCTACCTTCCCCTTTTGTCAAAAGACACTCCGGGCACTTTTGCGAAGCCCCGGCGAACCTACCCCCGAGTAAGGACTATAGGTGTCTATTATCAGTTTGCCAAACCATTTCCTTAACCCGCTCGCACTATTCATCACGGGCGAAAATTCTTTTATTTTAAACCTATTATTTTATTTTTTTTTATTCCTTTTTTTGTCACGGTGAGAGTGGATAAGCTCTAAGGACCTTATCCCCTGACTGTGGCTGGTGACAGTCGCTGCCTTTACACTTACAGTGTACCCCCCGTTGATGACTAGAGTCCTTTTGGCCACTACATTGTTATTTAGAGACAACAGTTACTTTCTAAGTGACCATTGTTGTTACACTTTTTCCCATAACCCTACCTATGTAAAAATATTTGCGCCTTTATCCTCTTAAGCCATTCCATGTAAAAATATTAGGTAGTTTTAACCCTTACACATATTTATACTTTAATCCTGTTTTTGATTCTAATATCAAAATTCGGATACGAATTTTATTCTGGTTTTTGTTAATTGTCGTATTGCTGGAAAACGACAAAGACCAGAACCACATCAATTGTTTCTGGGACATCAAGCAATAGTGGTATAGTAAGAAGCCGCTCCACAACTTCCAGAAGTTGACACCATTAGAAACTAACAATTCTTTGATCCATCGGTTCCATAAAACTGTAACGATAATATATTTTCTGAAAAGATGGCTCAACAGATATAAGAATTCTTTTTAATATTTTTTATGCCAGGTGGAACATTCCAGATATTGATCCAAAATGAATATTGGTATGCTGATGGAATATTTAAAACAACCTCGTTTTTTTACTGTATACCATCCACGGACAACATTCTTCATTACCATTAGTTTATGCATTGCTTCCAAATAAAATTGAAGATACATGTATTGAGCAGTTTAATGCAAGTTCTATTTTAATTCCTTTTTTTTTTTCTGAAAAATTAACCCTTGACGCAATTGTTGTAGCGGTGAACTCACGGGAAAAACATTATACAAATAAAAATGGAAATAAAAAACTTTATTGAAGGAACATAAATAGAGTATATTTTCAATTATGTACAATATTATAAGGATTGTATTAATTATTTACATGGGGACTAGACTAACAAGTATTATAAATAATTTTTTTAAAAGCTCAGCATGTAAAAGAATTAATTGTTGAAGTTATTACTGAACAAACAAACTTTTATTTTTGCGCAAGCTATTTTTTTGGTTACTTTTCTAAAACAATAACTTTGGAAAATACGCTGTAAACTACGTACAATATACAGTCTTTAAATAATACCTATTTACATAAAAATTAATAAAATTTAATTTTCTTTGGTGTTTTTTGACGGTTTTTCCGTAGATTGCATAGTTTTCCTGGCCTGGTAGAAATCTGAAACAAGAGAAAAAATTTAAATTAGATAAAATGATAATTAATAAATAAGAAAATTGCGCAATGTGTCAATAATTTTAATTATTATACAGTGTGTTTCATTTTTTATGAAGCCACTTCTATATTTTGTTTATTAGAAGTGACGAAGTAAAATTAAAATCATTTGTTTGTAAAGTAGGTATATTAATAATTGATATATTTTTTATTGTAGATTTCCAAGAAAAGAAATTTGCAACCAACAATGTATTAGTTCTAAAATTTGTATAATATATATTATTTATTTGTCTTTATTTGTTATATTTGCAAATTTATTTAGTTATATTTATATCTATTATTAATTTTTTACATAATTAATATGATTTTTTTCATAAACATGATTTAGGTTGTTCTATATTTTTTACAAATTGAAAAATTGAAAAAAAAAAGAAAAGTTTTTGCATTTAAAAAATCAGACAATGTGAAAATTTATAAGTTTTCTTATGTCCAATATGCCCTTTCAATGGTCCAAGGTGCACCACCTACAGGGCATGCTATGAGATACTAGCTAAAATGTCTGAAACGTACTAATGTGACCCACTCTACCCTAAATAAAAATAGATGCTGGGCGTAAATCTATATTGCGATTATTTTGGCTTATCGTTTTAGGGGTGAAAAAGGGGGTTATATTTTAAAAATATTAATTTTCGTCTCCGACATGGATATTATCTATTCACACAGACTACAAAACGAAAAAGTATGTCATTACGTTCAACTGAACGAATATATTTCATATCCATTCTACCTAGTAAGACCACTGCACAAATATAAAATCCACCCATCACAGTATCATATTTTGGTCACTCGCTACTATTATTTTTTTAGATTGTAAATTAGTGACAATTCTGTCAAACTAATTGTCAGTATATTTTTTAGTTATTGAAATTAAAAATACTTTAAAATGAATTATTCTTGTAAAAAATCGATAAATAATAGCATTTCTATTTTTATTTCGTCTATATTTACAAATAAATCATAAATTTTAATAAAACTATATGAAATCAATTTAATTATGAATACTAAAACTAAAAATAAATGTTAGTCGTGCTGATGGTGCTGAGGGTAGTGCATTTACCTGTCATGCGAGAGGTCCTGAGTTTAAATCTAGGATTAATTAAATTAAAACCTTTTTTTATTTCTTTTGTAAATTAGTAAAAGTCATAAATTATTTTTAAATTAGTTATTTTATCTTAATAACCTAAAATAATTTTTAAAATTTAGATTTACGCTCTTTTACTCTTTCACTCGAGTAGATTGGAGACGAAACTTTGTCTTCGTGCGATATGGCCATCATATCCACTCTTGTTGCACAAATTACTATTTTACTTAGATGTAAGAATTTGAAAATTCATTATTTTCGTAGAATATCAAATACGTCAAAAATTAATGCATTATTTTTAACACCAGGTGAATGCAAATGAAAGGCATATTATTTTAAACAGAATTATACCAGATGTTCGGGAAAAATCTGGTCGCCTATTAAGTTTCTAATTCCTTGGGACATATGCCGCTGAGAATACTGGGTTTAATGGCAGATACGAGTGTGGGATAAGAATTTTTACCTGAGATGGCGAAATAAAGTTATTCGTGCATAGACCATGACATCAGCCATATGTTTTCGTACCATTTACCAAGGATGTATAAGCGTGTAATTAAGTTTATTAAATTTAAACGTTATTTTGTTTCGATTGTTTTTAAATTAATGAAAATTGATTTTTAATTACTATTTATTGCATAGCTATGAAATAGTAGCAAATTTTATTTTGTTACTGTACTGGGTGTCCCAAAATAAAGTAAAAGATACTGAACGGGAGATTATGTGGTCAAATTTAAGATGAGTTTACTACGTAACATCTAAGAAAAATATACTCATTAATTTGGAACTGTATGTGTAATTAAATGTTATATAAACAAAAGATTTAGAAAATCATAAACGATGATACTATAAACAAAAATCGTCTGGCTTAACTACAATTTCTAAATATGTATAATCATTTCGTTAGTTATGGTTTATCATTCTAAACAAGCAATTAATACATATATTAAAATCTTGTTGCCTTTTTAGGATCATTAAAAATCGAATTGGTTTTGAGACCAAAAAAATTAATTATTAAATGTTTTTAACATTCAGAGTGTTCTATTAACAACTGAACGTAAAAATAATGGTAGTAACTTGGTGTTCAACAATGTCAGTTTTGGTTTTGCTTCTAGAAAATTGTACGTTTATTTTTGTATTTTTGTAGCCTTTCTTCATGTTTCTTTCAGTTTACAACTCCTGTCCTTTGTCCCCTGCTCTGCCATTCATTCTATAAGTGATCCAACCATCTAACCACTCAAATTTTTTTGATATAATTATCATACCACACTTTAATTGTCCTTATTTTATATCTTAGCAGTCTCTTTAAATGTCTCTTGTTCTTTACCCATATTTCACAGCAAAGAAATCTCAAGACTGTTCGCAAAATTTATATTTTGGATAATAAAAATTACTGTATTAAAAAGTTAAGAACAAACGGTTGTGACATTTTTTCTCGCAATATTTTGAAGGCCGCTTCTAGTAATAACTTAGTTAAACATAAAATAGCACATTTCCTTCATAATTTAAAATATTTAACAACTTTTTCACGCTATTTTGCTTTTATTACATATAATTATAATGTGTTTATCTACTTTAAGTGGATAATTCGATAATTACAAAACAACACATTTAGAATAAAAGTCTAATGAATTTATTTAAAATGTTTGTTTCATATTTGATTTGGTCAACAATTGTCAGAAATATTTCAAATATCTCTGACAAGCAACCGTCTTAAGACCATAAATATTAATTTTTTTGTCGTTAAATGCTTTATTAATATTTTTTACTTCATTGTACCAATTTTACTTTTATATTATTGCACGTTGCACTATTAGGTACATTGATACATTTCAATGTATTTTCTTACAGATGGTCAATTGTCCGAAACCAGTAGTCCTTATAAATATAAAAAAGACTTTGAAATTTCTTTTCCTTTTAAGAACATACCACATTCAAAACATGTACAACTTTTTTGCTCATAAATATTTTTGCTGTTTGATGACGGCCAGTTTCTTCTTGCAGAACATGAAGAAGGAGCATTATACAATGCCAACAAGATCAAACCTTTGGCCCCACTCTGTGTATGTCGAAGTGAATAGTAAATTGCTTTCACATGTGCAGGAAAGGAAAGAATGTGGCATCGACGATGCCTTTTACCGGTAGGTAGTCGGGACCGACCCATGGCTTCACCTGTGAACCGCAACATTGATATTTAGTTTGACCAAAAGAACAATCGGGGTAAAAATCTACAAAATTTTCAACAACAGACATATCCACTTTAATTTAGAAGATAATCATATATGACAAGACAATTTTACAAGGCCATGACAAGATCATTTTAGGTTTAGTTTAAAGAATTTGTATGTTAATACTTAGATTCCAGAGTACTGATACTTAAAGGTCGTAATATTAAAAGAAAGAGTAGAAGTCAAGTTTTAAGGTTAATGTTGAGTAAGTAACTTCGGAACTATGCACTGCACATGAGCACTGTGCTCTGCTTTTACACAATTTTACATCACTACTTCAAAAGATTTATTCCATGTGAGTCTTCTGATTGAATATAATTATATATGCTGCTCCCATATGGAAATATTGGATTGGCTATGAAAGGTATAGAAACATGCTGGGAAGTACCCAAAGAGCAAAGTGGTCACAAGGGACCTTACCTGATAGTGAAGGAGCGAAATAGACTTTCATAGAAGAGTAGACCTCCTCGCGAGAGAGTCAAAACGGAACAAAGATATGTTACTTAGAGTAAATGGCAAAATTAGTGGGAAACACAGCGAACCAGGTGGATGGACGAGTAAATTGATTAATACAGATTGCGTACACGTTTGAAAGCTTTACCCTAAAAATAATAAATATTCTATATTAAAAATGTAAATATTGTCAGAAATATGATGATCCAGTCCACATTTTGTACATATTATGTGATAGGTGTAAAAACGCAAGGCTATATAAATATGGAACTTAAAATAGGGATCGAATTAAATGAGTAGAACGTGATAAAGAAAATTATAAAAATAAAGCCAATTGGAACTATATAATACAAATACATAGAACACTTAAGGTCTAAAGAAGAGAGAGGTAGGGAGACCATCCAGCAGTGAAGGTCCAAAAATGATGTGCCGACAAAATAACAGTATCAAGGACATAATGTCATATCCCTAGGATGGCGGAGGAGATTTTTAGTGGTTATTACAATTCTGGAATCTCAAACTATCCAGCTGAAGATCAAGCAGCGTTTGCGTAAAAGAATTTAAAAAACATGATTTGGTTACCCAGTGAGCTTAGAACTTCAATATTATTGACGTGGTTTGCGATGTTTTTCCTCTCTTCTTCAACTGTTGAAATTCTCAGATATATGTGAAGGTCTGAGTTGCATACTAGCATGCGTTTACTATTGCCTTAAATATTTTGTTCTGAAAACTTTGTATACTGATATTATTTTTACTGACACATCCCTACGGCTGTATGTCATGAATACATACTGGTTTCGGTACTTGTTTATACTCATATATTAATAGTTTATTTTTAATTTAAAGTTTTTATTTTCTTATCATCAACTAATATAATTTCCATTATTTAATGCTTTATTTTTCCCGTTTTTTCTGAACGTTTTCTTTTCTACTGTTATTTTATTAATGAAGATACCTGAACTGATTTTGTTCACTCGTAGATTTTATTAGTCAAACTTTTCTGCTCGATTCTTCTATGGTTTTACCGACGACAAGTATGGCTGCATCATCGGCAAATGTGTATGTCGGTAAAGAAGTCTCCATGACACTTCTTTGAGGTACCCCTGCTATAATTTTTTTAAGTGTGGAATATTTTTCTTCTCACAACATTGCTGTGGTAAAAGTTTATTTATTTTATAATCAAGACG